TTTATCATGGACACCTTTAGGCAATTAGCAACACTATGGTCTAGATCACCATAATAAATATATAGATGGTTGTTGATGCAATATTATTATTTCATAGATGTGAGGTGGTGGATGACTAAAAACATTAATTTGCATGGGTGTCACATCATTGCCATCTGAATAAAGTGGTGCAAAGGAAACATATTATGCTATTTATTGAACTACCATCCATGATATGATCATTCTTATTGAAGCCAATTGATCTTATTGAAGCCAATTTTTATAATGAACTACAAGATTGATGGCTGTAAGGAACAAACTCCTTCAAATATCATAAGCTAAATGATTCCAAAATCACAATTGAAACAATAAAAAGTTTGGGTTAGACAAGATTGAGTTCGAAAACGAGTCTAAATATTAATATAGGTCATAGGGTGAACATATAAAACACTCATCTCTTAGGTGCAGAAGGTTTTAAAAGTATAATAAAGAAAGTGAAGTTAAGGACCAAGTCTTAAAGGAATTCTCCAATAATGTTTCTAAATCGTATTAATGTTCAAATTGAGGGTTAATAGCTTTTGGTGAGAATAAGCCCCTAAAGAACATGCTCAAATATAACTCCTATTTTTGGAAGAGAAAGTAAATATAATGCTCCTGAATAAAGTAAAATGGTGCCCCATTCATTTGAGTACCATAAGATTCATTAGTTTTCACCCCTTCCTAAGGGGCTTGACTTTGGGACACAAGTGGGGAATTAGAGAATTTATATCGGGTTATTAAGACTTCTTTAGGTAGGGATATTCTTTTAGAAGTGTATTGTTATAATTGTAACAAGATATAATTTAGCAAGTCAAACTAACAATGCAACAACTGGAAGAATTGAGGATTATAAAGTTTGTTCAAGGTATTCAAAACACTAATGAGGTTTGATAAACAAGAGTTGAAATAAAGACATAAAAAGTGGATATGAATTTCACTATTTTGGATATAATGGGATTTGATGTGATCTTTGAATTAGTTCAATCAATTTGTAATAGCCTGACATAAACAAGGTAGAAACCTAATCGTATTAATGAATCCCCTTGGAGAATGATCTAGGGTGGAGGCTAAGACCTGCTTAAATCTGGTATTCGTCTTTGTCCACTGCCATGGCCTGATGCTCCTAGAAAACATCCTCATGTCCTTTAGTGAAGGCTTAGAGTTTAAGCTCTAGATCCATTGGCAGGGTTTATGAGAGTAGCAAAGCATCACAGGGCTTCAATGAAGTTGTTTGTGCTCACCTTTTCATTTCAAAGTTGAAGAAGGCCTCAGCTTGATGCTCCTCCTCCCCTTATTGAATCCTGAACTGCAAAAAAAAAAAAAATATGAGTGTGAGAATTGATAAATCACATGAGTAGAGAGTTTTCTGGCATTGGATCTAGTGTGGTGGCAATTGTGGCACTGGATTTAGGGCACTCACAGCAGCACTGGTTCTGGCATGGTAGCTGTTGTTGGATCTGGCACAGCAGTTGTTGTGGCACTGGATATAGCATAGCGGCACTCGGCAGCACTGGATCTGGCGGCAGCGGTCACTGGATCTAGTGCTGCAACACTGGATTTGGTAATCAAGCTCCACATCCCACTCTAACGGAAATACTTAGAAGTTAAGTTAAGTTAAGTACTCTTCATTGGTAAATGTGATAATCATTATCATCTTGAGGAAAATGAGTTACCTTAACATCCAACTCCACTATAATCACCATCACTACCATTGCTATAGCCAATAGACTTCACTAAGTGACCAAAATCAAAGGCAATGGCATGTACTATCCCATCTCATTGGATGGCAATTGATAACTCATAGAATGGCCATTGAATTCTCAGTCATATTCCCATGCCAGTGGAATATATTGGGGCATCTTGTACTTGCCATGGGTAAAAAACCATCTAGGCCTATGGGGTTTTACCACATGAACTGCATATGTGTGTGTGTGAGGCAGCGGGGTGTGATATGGACATATGGACACCTATTTTATGAATAGCATGCCATACAAGTTCCTTATATCAGTACAATTATAGTGCACTCACATTGGAGATGATAGATAAAACATGGAATTAATAACCAATGAAGATTTAGAGGTATACATCTGTGGACTATGGATTGACATAGCACGGAGTTGGACTCTAATTCTTGTTCCCCTCTCTTTGAATTTCTCTGTGTTGGTATTTGAGCATGTTGAAATTGGCACCTCTATAATTTTTTTAAGGATAAATATAAAAACTTACTTGTTTTATAAATCAATTCATGGAAGTTTTATTTATTACTTGATTTAGATTTGTAAAAATGGTGAATTGTTTTTATTTTATAATTTATTGAACTTCTTCATAATGTTCATAACCAGCCAATACTCAAAGATCATTATTTAAAGCTCCTCAAATTTATCATCTATTCAACTTTATAGATTTTATATATAGGCGTCAGCTAGGAAAAGAGAAAAAGAAATATAGAAAAATGTAAAAGAGAAAAGTATTATCTTTAAAAACTTTGTTTTTTTCTCAACTTTTTAAAAATTATTTTAAAATAAATAGTTGAATCTGAATATTACTTAACTCATTTTATATATACAGAAGGATGAATTTATATATTTTTCTTACCTCTTTATTTTTAATTATAATTGTTGTAAAAACATTAACTTTCACACTTAGATCATTTACTGATACACTTTCTGATCAAGATGCATATGTAATATTTAAAAATCTTGTTTTCTTTCTCCATAGTCTTCATAATAATACAAATTATAGGGTAGGAACTTTTCCCATACAAAACTTTGAAGGAGTTAAAGTTTCTCAAATCTCTATGAAAATATCAATACATGGATATTCTTATGATATTTCTAATGCTAAATTTTGCATACCTATGGGATCTAATATGCAAGTTAGAGGCGAATACCTTAAAATATTACTTACAACTCTTGCTCAAGCAGTTGTAGATCAAGCTTTAGCTGGACTATATGGTCATATTCGAGCTGTTCACGAATTTATAGAATTAGAATATATAGTACATGGGAACAGAATAAATGATAAACAAAATCTCACAATAAAAAATATAAAGGTAATTAAGTATATTTCTAATGTCATTTGAAATATTTTGTGACATTGTTAGATAAATATGGATGAACATGATTGTTGGATTTATAGATCATCTTTAGTAAGTGGAAATAAAAACTATTTAGGATCTTATCTTCTCTCAGCAAACTCCATTGTTTCTTCAAATGGAAATTATAAATTAACAATAACTAAAAATTGTAATTTAATATTTGTTTATTTGACAAAAATAATTTGGGAATCAAAAACATCAAATAAAGGATTTAAATGCTATGTAGTTCTCAATACTAATCAAAATCTGATTATATATAATAGTTTAGAAATTCCAATATGGGCCTCAAATACTAATACTAAAAGTTCTACACAAAGTGCACTTATAATTGAAAATATTGGTAAACTATCTTTATATAATACATTAACAAAGCAGTTAGTTAAGCAATGGCCATAGTACAAGAATTGAGTAAAACAGCATACTATAATCATGCTTCACCATGAAACCCTCTAAACAGCTAATGAATGAATTCCCATGATATGTCTAATTGCTCACTGATCGTGTTTGAAATTTCCCCATAAATGTTGTTGTGGTTGCAACCTCGAGTTGTGAGGAAGACTACCTTGAAAGGTGTTTCTTGCCAGGGAGAGAACTTGAAGTCTCCTCAAGTCAATATCCAAGCCATGGATAGGGTTACTCCCTACCTTGAATCACTCCAGCTTTGTAAGTAGTGAAACTGGGATGCTTCCCACCAGCCTGTTCCTTTCCCCAGAGTCTTAAGACTGATGGAATGCCTCTTGTTCTTAGACACCTCGAGCACTTGCAAGGAGGTACAGTTTGCCAGTTCAAGGGGGATCTCAACATGCAGAAAGTTGGCTGAAGTTATGTAACCCATAACTCCAACGTGTTTACAAGTAGTATCAAAGTCTCCAGCTTTTGAAGGCGGGCCAGTGATGAAGGGATCTCTCCTATGCGTTGTGATCCAAATGTAAGCCTATGAGGCTGGAAAGCTGGGCAAGGGAGGAAGGGATTGCTCCAGTCAGCATGTTGCTTCCCAGCCAAAGATGTGGAGGTTTGCCAGTGGATCGACTCTGGGATGGTGTTGAGGTAAACCAAGCTCTTGCACCTGCCAATTTCCCCTGGTCATATGACCCCTCCGATTATGGAGTTTGAGCCGACGTTCAAGTGTGCGAGCTTGGTCATGTTATCAATGAAGAGATTGTCCCTCTACACATGGTTCCAATCACGCTGAGGAACTCAAGCTGGGTCATGTTCCACAGCTCTTTGCTGCGAGTAGACGATTGAGTCCCAGCGTTGTGGAACTGGACCTTGTAGATGTCAATGTCAAACCACTCGATCTTTGTGCAGTTGCCAAGCCCAGGAGGTATTTGCCCAGTGACGCTTGTCTTTGTCGAACACGGAGAGGTACTCGAGCTTCTTGTCATCAGCAATGAGCAGTTGGCAAGAGAGAGCTCTTCCAGCCTTCCCAGCAAACTGGACTTCGGGGAACTCGCAGCAGCTGTGCGTCTCTTGGGCGGGAGTTACTTGTAGCAACGTTCTCGAGGAGCTGGATGGATGCTTGGAGGAGACCTCCGCTCGTTTTTCACCGGGCTCAAGCACGGCGACCTCTCTTCC